TAAAAGTACATTTTGACCTTATTCTTATGCATTTTCTGTTTTATTCAACAGAAATCTTCTGGACAGAGATACATTTTCAAAATCTGATCCAAGTAAGTATAAATTGCTTTTAAAAGTAATTTACTTGATTTACCTACTTTATTTTTGCAAGTATAGTATAAATCTCATCATTATTGCTTAAGTATTTGTCTTAAAACTCAGAGCACTAGAAAAGGGATGGTCCCAAGTCTTGCTCAGTCTTCTACTTTGCTGGTGCTTTGGCTAAAGAGGGAATTGCTTATCACTTTGAGAATAAGATGAGAGTGAGATAACTCTGAATATGGAATTTACTTTGAAATGAAAAACTTCATAGGCTATTAGTAGAAATTGTATATGACACATAATTATTTTAAGTTATTTAGTCACTAAAAATTTAGTTGGCCATAATTTTAAATTACATAGTCACCAGAAAACTCAAAAAGGCAGTTGGACCCTCTGACTTGTGGCCCTTGGGCCTGGTTTTATTTGTTTTTGGTCAAACAGTGGTATAACACTGGTCTGCAAATTTGCTTTACAGAGGTAACTTATGATTTCTGTCATAGTAAATACTGTGACACTTATGTGTCAAATGTGATAATGTTTACCCATGGTGTACAGTGTTTGGTGGAGCTTGCAGATTAAAACAAGTTTAGAAGCAGGAGTGGCATCTACTTCTGAAATAGATTGCCTCTAGAAACTCTATGAACTTGGAGAAATGATGTTAATTATACAACAGGGTTCAGGACTTTTGCTCTTATGGTCCTTATGAGTCATTTGTGACTCAACAACACATAAAAACAAGTCACCAGAAAACCCAGGGTCTCCCAATTTTGATGGCTTTGAGCGCTGTAATTTTGTTAGGAATTATGCCTACTAATACATTGAAGTACTTAAAAACTTTTATATTTATTTAAATTTGTAACATCATGTAGATGAAAGTGTTGGCAATTCATTTAGATTTATTTGCCCATTTCCATGAGCCCTTAAGACTGAATAAGTTTTGTTTTCTGTTTCTTTATAATAATTTTGAATCATTTGATAATTAGTCTTACAAGGGTAAGAGTAGGGACTATATATTAATCTTTATGTTCTTTAGATAGCTGAAGAAGGCCAATTACATGATATATGTACAAAATATTGCATTTAGTGTTTATAAAATAAATGATAAATGTATGAATATATTCTTTTCATCTTTTGTAGTTTGTGTCTTATATGTTCAAGGAGTTGGAAATAAAGAATGGAGGGAGGTAAGAATTAAAAAAAAATTTAAAACATCACTGTACTGGAAGATACATTATAATTTGATCCAAAGGATACTTTATAGTTTTTAGTTCTTTCATATGGTTTTCAATCCAAAGACTGAACTCATATTTTATCTTTGATAATTCTGAATGTTTGGTAGATTGATGTCATTCCTGTAAAATATTCTGTATTTTAAATTTGTATTTCTTCAGAGGTAAATTTAATGTTTTATAATCCAGTTGACCTGATTACCTGTGTAATCTAAGTCTATAAAGTTTTTCTTACTTATAGAGGCCAAGTAGTGATTGTCATAAATACTTGAAAAGATTTTTTGTTTGGTGCTTTATGTAAGATATCACTTGCTTTTTTAAAAGTTAGTAACTTAGTAAGTGAAAATAAAATACAATTTCAATTTCTGAATATTTTGTTGAATAAAGCTAAGTAGCAAAAAGCTGCAAAAGCAAAAGCAAAGTAGAATTATTTTCATTTTTTCCCCGTATCTACATTTAAATTCAAAACTGAGTCCTGTGGGGTTGGAAGGAAATATTAAAATAAGAGACTCTTCCATCTGCTTGGTTGCCAGTTATCTCAGGAAGTTAGTGTATTGATGATGTATGATTGTGACTTCTGACTAGATTTCTCTGTGACTTAGTGAGATTCATGCAATTTGTTGCCACAGATTATTTTGCAGCCTGCCAGTTTACCACTGTGTGCTATTAGAGATTGTTGTTCTGTGCTTTCAAGTCTCCTACAACTCAGGGCAACCCTATGCACAATAGCTCTGAAGCCTGACCTGTCCTGAGCCTGTTTCACTAGTTCTGATACACCTACCACCATTGCCCCAGTTACGGATTCAATCCATCTCATCTGGGGTCTTCGTCTCCTGTGCTCTGTCCACCCTCTGAGCATGATGTCCTTCTCCAAGGACTGGTCCCTCCTGGCCATGTGCCCAAAGTATGTGAAACAAATCTTCAAAATCCTAGCTTCCAAGGAGAAACTTAGTTTAACCCTCTCCAAGACAGACCTTTTTGTTTTCTTGATGGTCCATGGTATGTTCAAGACTCTGCTCCAGCACCACAACTCAAAGGCATCAATTCTTCCTCTGTCATCCTTAGTCATTGTCCAGCTTTCTGATGCATAGCAAGTAATTGTGAAGACCATGGCCTGGATCTGGTGTACTTTAGAAAAATAGAGGAAAGACAATTAAAAAATGTTTCACTATTGAGAGTGTAGAGCAATTGTTGTCATTGTTAGATGCCATTGAGTTGAATACAATTCATAGAAACCCTATGAACAACAGATCTGAACCTTGTCCTATTCTGGGCCGTTCTCCTAGTCTCTGCCATACTCAAGCCCATTACTGCAGTCACTGTGTCAATCTCTCTCAGTGATGGTCTGTTATCCTTTGGTAGCCTAATGGTAAGGAACTGTGCTCCAGTACTGAAGGCACACAGCTCAAATCCAACAGCTGGTCTGTAGGAGAAAGATGGGCAGTCAGTCTCCTTCTGTGCTATTAAAACTGTCTCAGAAAACCTTCTGGATGGGGGTCAGTTCTGACTTGATGGTAGCCAACAACAACAACAATACAAAATGAATAGGTATGGAGAGAGGATGCAACTCTGATGCATTCCTTTCTTAATTTTAAACCATGTGGTGTGCCCTTGCTGTTTGCTCAGCAGCTTCTTGGTCTATGTATAGATTTCACATGAACACAAGTGTTCTGGGCTTCCCATTTTTCTCAGTGTTAGCCATAATTTGTTATGATTCACACAGTCAAATAAATGCCTTTGTGTAGTCAGTAAAACATGAGATCCACAGGAAATCAGTTATGATTTTCCTGTGTTTTTCTGTGGGCCAGTAGGTAGTACAGTAGAGTGTACCATTTTCTCATATCTGCCTATTTCTGCGCATTAAGTATAAGGCCCAAATGACTTGCATTTCAAACCAATGCAATGATACTGCAGAAAAAAGGAAGAAAACTTACAGCTGTTTTTTGTGGAGTAAGATTTACTTTGATACATGTGGGGTCACCAGGAGCATGAACTGATTTGACGGCAATAGTTGAGTTTTTGGTTCACAGACTTATCTTACATACTTGTCTTACATATTCTAGTGTAAATTCATCATCTGTATGCCTCTTTTTGCTCCAAATATGGTAAATAACATCATCTGATATTTCAGGCTGTCATTTTTGCAAACTTTCTTGATTTTTTTCTTGTTTCATCTTCATTTGATTAGTTATCTAATTATATAAATTGGTTTTGAAAAATATTCTCTGATAAGCCACTTTCTTATTCATGGTCAAACTATCCTTTGTCTGCCATATTACAGCATTTTCTTGCTTGGATCCTTGCTTCTTTCCCTTGTTTCTCTGCTTCTTTCAGCTACCTGATCATTTTGGTTATTTTGGTGGGCTTAATTTGTCCCCCAAAATATATGTTAAAAGTCTTAACTGCTTTCCCGTGGCTTTAATCACATTGGGAAATTTTTTGTCTTGGTAATGGTAATAAAAGGATTAGTATAGGGTGTGTCTTTAAGTCAATTTCTTAAGGAAGATAAAAAATTAAAAAGGCATTTGGAAAGGACAGATCAAGGGAGAGCTACTATACTGCTTAGATTACTTTAGATTACTTAGATTGCTTTAGATTGTGGAGAAGAAACAAGGACTTTTTTTCTAGAATTGACAGAGAAAAATCCTGGCTCTTCCCTGCACCATACTGACTGCTTCCTTAACTGTAAGAAAAGAAATTTGTTAGTTAAAACTATCAACTTGAGATATTTCTGTCACAGCAGAACTAGATAACAAAGAATTTGATGATGAAGAATAGGGTTCCACTCTCAACAAACATCTAGAATGTGGAAATGATTTTGGAATTAGATAAAAAATGGCTAGAAAACTTTAAGATATGTAATAGTAAATGCCTAGATTGCCTTGGAGTGACTGTTGGTGAAATTATGAATGCTACCTTGCTGCTGAAACGGAGGAGGACCTGAGGCATTTGCTCCAGAAGGTCAAGGACTGCAGCCTTCAATATGGACTGAAGCTCAGCATCAAGAAGACAAAAATTCTCACCACTGGGCCAGTGGGCAGCATCATGATAGAGAAGAGATTGAGATTGTTAACAGCTTCAGCTTGTTTTGCTCCACAGTTAACTCTCTTGGTGCTGTCAAGGACCTCTCCGAAGTACTCAGGAGCAATACTGTCAGTCTAGAGACTAAGGGGTGCCTGAGCCAAGCCATGGTCTTCACAGTTATTTACTATGCATCATAGAGCTGGACAGTGTAAAGGGATGATAGAGGAAGGATTGATTGATGACTTTGAGGTTTGGAGCTGGAGAAGAGTATTGAACATACTGTGGACTGCCAATAAAGCCAATGGGTCTGTCCTGAAAAAGATGAAACTTGGCAAGGATTTCTAAGCTCCATTCCACATACATTGGGCCCATGGCCAGGAGGGACCAGTCCTTGTAGAAGGACATCATACTTTGTAAAGAGGGACAGTACGGGAGATGAAGGTCCTAGATGAGATGGATTAACAGTATCATGTATCATGTGATTCGATGGCACATAACAACAACAAAGGCAATTGTTAAGGATTGAGAACTAGCAGTATTGAGTTAGTTTCTTAAGGAATACAGATGGTGCATGCATCATAAGGTTGCTAAAGATAAGTGTTAAATGATTATGGTGAATTTAAAAAAATGAATGTGATTGATTGGTCAATGGAAGAAGAATAGTGATTTATTTTATACAATGACATTGAACTTTTCTGGATTATGTTCAAATGCTTGGTGGAAAGTAAAACTCTTGAGTGATGCTTGGATATCTAGTCACTGAGATTTCTAAGCAAGATCTTGAAGGGGCTACGTAATTTCTCTTTACTGTTTATATCTAAAGCTATGAACAGAAAGAGATGAACTTAAAATTAAACTGTACAAAATAGAAACATACTTAAACATTTGGAAAATTCTGCCATACAAACTAAGGATTATTTTAGAATTTTTACTAAGGATGTGATACAGTATTTCTATAAAGAGATTAAGGCTATGACTGATGGATCTGACCAATGACCATAGCAGAAAACCTATCAGTTTAGGCTTAAAGAGACAGAGAAAAAAATAAAAGGAAAGAATGCTATCTGTTTCTTGGAATTCTTTGGGCACAAAACAGGCCAAAGGAGATGTCTGTTGTCCTCTGAGAGAAGTAAAGGACCATACCTGGAGAATTTTGGAGATTAGCAGGTGGGGGGTGGGGGGAAGTGACATAGGAATTGTATACTAATGAAGGAATTTTTTTTTCTCTCTTTTTGGAGGGGGAAGCGAGCTGGTGGGGAGGGGTGGGCAGGGAGAAAATTGCGGCAATGAATGAATGGAAATCCAAAACCTCTGTAAAAAAAAAAAAAACTCTGCTGGCCTAGTGGTAAGGAGTTTCTCTGCCAACTCGAAGGTGATTTTTGTTGTCATATGCTTTTTTTTTTTGTCATATGCTTTTGAGTCACCTGCAACTTATAACGACCCTATGTTGGTCTTCCCTATACCAATCTTATTGTCACTGACACACCTACCACCTACCCCAGTCACTGAATAAGTCCATCTCATTGAGGGTCTTTCTCATTTGTGCTATCCCTCTACCCTCCTCAGCATGACATCCCTCTCCAAGGGTGGATCCTGCCTTGCAGTAAGTCCAAAGTATGTCAGATGAAGCTTCAGAATGCTTGCCTCCAAGGAACAGCCTAGTCTTACCTTCTCTAGGATGACTGTGTTTTTTCTCCTAGCAGTCCATGGTATATTCAGTACTCTTCAACAGCACCACAGCTCAAAGTTGTCAATTCTCTTTCTATTATCCCTAGTCATTGTCCAGCTCTCTGATTCATAACAAGTACTTGCAAAGACCATGGCCTGAATCAAGAGCAGCTTAGTCTCCAGACTGACATCATTGCTCTTTGGTACTTTGGAGAGGTCTCTGACAGTAGACTTTCCCAAAGCAATTTGTCTATTGATTTCCT